AKWTATTATGCAACCCTTTGCATTTGTACAACCAATACAACTCAATCTTAACCATCCATTTAATTCGATGAATATGTAATTTCATAGAAGTTTTGTTTGTTTCCTAACATAAAGTATTGATCATAATTAATGAACTTTAGTCATCTTCCATAAATATTCAAATCATAAGAAATAAACTCTCATCATTTCTATAAATATCTCAATTAATTGAGTTGCATTGGTTGTACAAATGGACATGGTTGCATTTGAAACAAACTCTCTCTCTCTCTATCTTTATATATATATATATATATATATAGGGGCCTAATCAAATGATAACTAATTAGTTTGTCGTAACTGTGAGGTCTAATATGAGTCAATCATTTTATTATATTAATTGTGTTACCTTAATTAAGAAAAAGAGTGTATTAGTAATTTTGTTAATATTTTTCTTTAACGATTATCAATTAAAGAGATTGATATTGTTTTCTTATTAATCAAACAAATTATGGAAGTTTCTTTTTATGAAATTACAATTGAGAAAATAAATATATAATTCTTTACCGTTAAAACTTTTTGGGTATCACAGTGGTAAAATAGTGGTATCACAGTTGTATTAATCAACCATATATGGTATCATAGTGTGTAACACAATGTATTTTTTACGTTATACGAAGTGTATCACAATATATTTTTGTTGTTTTACGAAGTGTAACACAATATATTAGGTAATGTTTTCTTTACCAAATGTATCACACTGTGTTTTTTCGTTATTTTGTGAAACGTATCGTGTGCATCATGTGTTGATATGGTGTTCGTTGGAAAGAGGAGGTGTTTGACGGAGAGAGTTGAGAGGAGAGAGGAGGGAGGAGAGAGAAAATATAGAATGATTAAAATGCCCTTAATTAATATTTTAATTTAAAATTACCAAAATTATCAATTTCCTAATTTAACCATTGATTTGTGGTTGAGATTGGATCCCACAGTTACCACAAACTAATCAGTTCTTTCTCGAATGTACCCCTATATATGTATATTATTTATTTCAACTAAAACGGTAGTTCATAATTTCTTATTTCCTAACTAGGTTTATAATCTAAAATTGTTATTTTATGGAAGTTAATATGTAATATTTTGGATGTCAAGTCAAAATGCAATTACTTGATAAGTTTTGTATATTACTCGATATAATTTTATATTACTCAATATCTTTTGGTACATGTGACTTGAAGTTTTTTTTTGGATTTAATTGATTTTTTTTTTATTTTATGTTATTAGTTCTTATATAATGTTGTAGTTTTTTTGTATTAAATTAAATTCATTTTGATTTTAGGTTTATTGAAAATGTTTGAAATTTAAACATGTATGGTCTCTCACATATTTAATTTAAAACAACTTACATAAACGAGAAAAAAATCCTCGTTTTTCCGTTGGGAATGAGAATATGATTATATTTCCCGACGGGGATGGGAACGAGGACAGTGATTGAGATAAATAATCAGGAACGGGGACATGGATTAAGATCCCCGCCCCATTCCCATGCCTAAGCATGAACATTGAAACAAAATATTCAAAATCCAACCCAACACTTAAAAAAATCATTCCCAGCCTAATACTCTCTTTTCTAATCAACTTCGAATAACCTATTACTCAGACTTGGGGGCTGTTTGACAGTTGATGAATGATTTAGTGCAGAATAGTTAAGTGTTCCGAATGGTTAAGAGGATCAGAATGGTTAAGTGCTGAATGAAACAAGGTTGTTTGGTAGTTGTTCTCTGAATGACAACAAATTACCATTTTAACTCCACCGTCAACAACCTTGCAACCACCGTCATCAATTCAAATTTTCCGGCCATTGCTCTCTTCACCTTTAGCTCCATGATGAGACGGATCCCATGGAACACAAAAAACGACATCTCCCACGTGGGACTCACAGGTATTACATAGTAAAACATTAATTCGTGCATCAAACCGGAGACGATAAAAGTCGCCATGACCGCCATCGCAGTCGCCCATTCCTTCGCCGGAAGAACATATTTCACGGGTTTGTATACTGTGTGTGCAGGCTATTTGTTACCATGAGGTTCCATCGACGACCCCAGAAGTCTTGTAAGGAGGTCAACAGGTACGGCTCGTCCAACGGCGACGGGAGGTCCAACAGCGGCTCAAGCTCGACTCCCGCCACCGCTCCGATGACGGCGTTCGAAACGAATACCAAAAGATCAATCAGAATAAACATTATAAAACAATAAACGATTAACAAAACGTGAGGATTCAATTCGTGTTTGTAATTATACGCAAAATTAATCAGTAAGGGGAAAAGCATCGATTCAATCCACAGATATACACTCGATTTGTTTTTGGGGTTGAAAAATTGGGGTTTAATTTTGACGGGAAGGAAAGTGACGACAATGAATTGAATAAGGGATTTTGGTGGGTAAAGTGGGCCGTGATTGAAAGTGAAGAGGAGCTTAAAATTGGCCAGCCAAGTAAAGAAGGTGGCGACGGCGATGGTGAAGGTGGAGGACGGGAAAGATGGTGAGAAGGTAGAAGATGGGGAGGAGGGAGATGAGTCTGTAAATGCCTTTGGGAAGGTTTGAAGAGATGAAATAAGTAAGAGGATAGAGCCGTAACAATCACAGAGAAGAAGACGAGACCAGAATCCGCCATTGTCGACCATGGAACGAGCGTGGGATGAGACGACGGGGAGAGCAACAGGATCGTGGGATGAGTAGGCGGCTGGAGAAGTGGGAGGGTAAAAATGAAACAACTTACATCTGAATCATTTAGGAACACCCTAAACACAATCATTAAGAGGATATTGTCACCATTAAAAGGTTTTTTTTTTTTGCCAAACAGCTCCTGCCTCTTATAGATTAAGAGGCTCCATCTCAATATCACCATTAAGAGGCAAACAAACAGCCCCTTAACTGAGGTTCATTTATGCCCTACAATGATACACATTTAGCATTTGATGCTTTAATCAAATAAACTGAATAAAAAAAAGATACAACTGAAATGTGTTGGATTTGTCGAACTCTTAAATATTCAAACAAAATAAAAACCAAGAAAGAAAGAAAGTAAGAATCGATCATACACAATAACACTATAAACATTCTGGTTCACATACTCTTACCTTCTACATCAGAAAAATTTACGCCTAGATGTCGCTTCACGATTGGTGCACATAAGATCAACATCTTAACAACATTTCAAAATTGGGATCAAACGGTAGGCCGCATGAAATTGGTTTTCAAGCACCTGCTCCATTACTTAGTTGGAGTGTCATTCGTATGTTCATGGCCGCTAATTCCGCAGCCAAATACCTAAAAACGTATGGCATAGCGACGGTTTCCATACCTTTGCTTGTTTGGCAAGAAACGCACGTAACTTTTTTGGGTTCCCTTGCAGGGGGTAAACCTTTGGTCTCCCTCATTGTTTTTTTCTGACGTTCAATTAGTGTCGTCGTGAGAATGCTTCCACAAATGGAGCAGATATCGGCTATGTGATGATCTGAACTCGAGTGAAGCCTATCATGCAATAAATATGCAGCCCCGTGTGCAAGAAGGGAGTCACGTTCCATCTCCCCAAAACGAATACCGCCTCCCTTCTTTCTTCCTTTTATAGGCTGTCGTGTAACTTGATCTACTGTTCCCGTTGATCTAACCTGAAACCCGAGTGTTGATGATTTATCAGCTTGGAAAATTTAGAAATAATAACACTTCGTTTCAGGGGGAAGTAGTTAAATGATAGTAAATTACAATTTTCGTTCCTATGGTTAAGAAATTGCTCTAAAATGATATTATCACCGAGGGCACGTAGAACTTCCGAGTATGCAATAAAAAATGAGTGATAATTTTCATACTAGATTACTATCGCACTAGATTTTTTGTTGCAATTCTTGCATAAATTCCCAAAAAGAAACACTAAAAACGAGCGAAATATGATGTACGCAGATCTGACCTCTACCTTAAAAAGGAAAGCAGTTGTTCCCAAAAAGGATCACTAAAGTTTGGAAAAAAGTGAATTGGGACAAAAGTGCTGTTTGAGCATTTTCACCATAATGATGATCAATTCCCGACAAAAAGTCTAATGCAACGATTTAAAAGTCTATTACTCGATAAAAGTCATGGAAAATTAATAGTAAGAACTAATATGTATACAAACTTAGAAATTGCGGGAAAAAAACACTAACGTTGTCTTGCATTTTTGCAAATAAAGTTGGTTGGTTAGAAATGAAGTATGAAGTGCTAAATAGAAATTTGATATCGAATCAAATTTTAAGTGAAAAATGAAAATTTTGTGGATCTTAAAATGTACGATCTGATGACAAAGTAGAAATAGGAAGGAAATCTAAGAATGCTGTAAATTTTATCAAAAAAGATCACGTACCTGAAATTTGTCAGAAACCATATGCCGAAGTCTTTGATAATAAACCGGACCAATGAAGATCTCACATGTTAATTCCGTTCCGTAGACTCCACTGTATAAAACTTCCACACCGTAGTGATTAAACCCACGAGCAGTTAACAAAGAACCAAGTTCATCAACAAGTGAATCACTTTCATTTTCTGGGGTTCCATCCGGTTTCTTAACCGAGCTAGAGAAAGGTGTTGCATTCACAAAATTCCCATGCAAAGAACCTCCCTGTAACAAGACAAAGTTATGCACATTCTGTAGCAATATAAAATACCAATTTGACAAAAAATAACAAATAATGATTAAAATAGTATTGGCTGTCAATTTTCTTGCCAACACTTGATTAAAAATAGATTTGGTTATTCCCCTATTCATAGATTTGGTCATTCCATCACAAGGGAGAAGAAATTGATACCCATTCCATCCCATTTTCTTAAGAAGACAAAATCATCCCCATATATATATATATAGGGTTGGGCGCCGGTGAGAATGGAAGTTATCGTGAGTATTGAGAAGCGTAAGAAGGGATCTCCATCCTTGGACCAATCCTAATTAAAGATCAACACTAATTAGATGCACCAGATCGATTCCAGTGAGAAGCGCAATTCATGGGATGGGGGTGAGAATAAAGATGAACAAGGTCCAGATCCCTTCTTACGCCTCCCACCTTAACTCTTATTCTCACACGATCCTCCGTCTATATATATATAATATCCGTAATTTACTCTTGATTTAATAAATGGTAACTTACATATTTTTTCAATAGTGCATCTATAGTAACCAAGAGCTAATTGCTGTGCCCATGTAGATGTACTTAAGTATAGATGAGCTAAATTACTATGTGAGTACATAGGTTAGAACTCATTTCTATACTTAAATGTGCAGCAAATTAGATTGCTGCTGCATGTACAACTAACAGCATTATTTAAAGAAACAAAACAAATAATAACACACAGTTCCCAATAAATACAAAAGGGAGTATTAACAAAACCGACCCAGTAAGGCCCTCTAATATGTCCATTTTACTAAGGTGAAAATCAACCATATTTTGAAGTACCACACAAGAAGTTCAATGATACGGTTTAACTTGTAGCATGCACCAGAGGTAGGGCCTGTTTTCTTAGCAGCTAAATGAGCTTAATGGGACTCAGCTTATTCGGTCAGCTATACATGAACATATGGTAGTGGCTTAATGATAAAAAGTGACTTATTCACTGAGCTTCTATGGGGGAGCTTTATGAAGAAAGCCAAGTTTTTTCCAGACCTGCCCTTCCCAGTTAAAACATGCTCATTCCATCCATGAAAAAACCCTCCCAGACAGATTAATCCACACAGATAGCTTTATCCATACAGGACTTGATAAAAAACCAACCAAACAGCCCCATAGTTGAGCATAGAAATATACCTTTGCAGCAATTGATTCTAAAAGCATAGCAATTGTCATTCTTGAAGGAAAAGCATGCGGATTGATAATAAGATCTGGTCGCATTCCGGTAACTGCTGAAAACGGCATATCAACATCTGGCCAGAGTTGAGAGCATACACCTTTCTGCCCATGTCTACTGCTAAACTTGTCACCAATTACAGGCTTTCTGCCACGACGTAAACGTATGTTTGCCTGTTCAAGCAAAATGACAAGGCCATACAATGGATATTAACAATAACCATAAAAGATTAATATAGAAGTGATCAAAAATGCTTTTTGATTAATGTGTTTAACATTAACATTCCATGCAACTTCATAAATGTTAAAAAGTTAAAATTTGAACTATTAGACATAAATTTGAACATTTATATCTTCACTATCTCAGATCAAACTAAAAAGAGCAGCAAGAGTGTATTACTCATAATAATCATAACATTTTGTTTGATTTGATCTTATGCCCTTCTATTCTAGTTAAATATTAATGGATAAATGTAGCATTTATAATGAGATAGAGAGCCTGATACATTTAACAAACAAAAGTAGCAAACATAAAATAGTTGTCCATCCTCAGGTAATTATAGCAGGCTCCGAGCCCTGATACATTTAACAAACAAAAGTAATAAAACTATGCAATGCTGAAGTATAAAAAAGAAAATCACCTTTTGTAACTGCTTTTTGTTTTTCACATCCACTGCAACATAATCAACTATAGCAGGCTCCGAGCCCTTCAACCTTGCATCGGATGCCTTACTCGTCACTTCATTATACGTGCTATAATATGGCTCGCCTGGTTTTATCATCTGAAAGTTGGTAATAAGCACTTTAACAGTCGACATCGTAAATTCTGATGAAAAAAATACACCATAAGACATAAAAAGTGGAAAGCATAAGCAAACCTGCCCAATATACGGGAGCCCATCTGAATCGATGAATGAATGTGTTTCCGTTTTTGTATAGTTTCTTCTAAATACTCTCTGACCACGATCAGATTTGATCTTCTCATCAGCAAAATCAATAGACTCAGTCTGCAAATAGAATTCAGAGAGGTTATTTGATATCAAGCTTCCACTATATATGAGAGTATAATTGATATGACAGATAAAAGTAGGCCGGAAGTGACTTAAAATCTGGTTTCAGATGGATGCTCCATAAGACAAGCAATTTCCATGGACTCTTCCCAACACGAAGAAATTATATAGTAGGATTTTTCTCAACCMCCCCCCCCCCCCACTATGTACAAAGTAAGCCAGACATATGGCCTGTCTGTTAGCAGCTAAATGAGCTTAATGGGACTCACAGCTTATTCGGTCAGCTATATAACTGTTTGATAGTGGGTTAATGATATATATAGTGGCTTATTCAGTAAGCTTCCAGGGGGGAGAGCTTTACGCAGAAAGACAAGTTTTTTCAAAACCTGCCCCTCCCAATTAAAAAACACACTCCTTCCATCTATGAAAATGTTTTTCCCAATCTATATAGACAGATTAATCCACAGAGAACTTTATATATACATTACTTTATGGAAAATCAACCTAACAGCCCCATACACACTGAAAGAGTGATTTTCAAATATAAGTTACTATTTCGAACCAAAAAAAATAAGGAGGCTATCCACCTTCACAGTTAGATATACCAAAAATAACCATCGTACCCATAAGAGAATCACATTTGTCACTTTTGCCAAGAGCCAGCCAGTTGACCAAGCCAGATGGGATATTTAATTACAAAAGATGACAACTCTTATCTAAAAAACCCAATGCATCATTCTTTACGTTGCTGGACAAGATCTATATGGATTAACCAATGCCCTGAATTTAACAAAACCAAATGAACCAAGTATATCCCACTCTGAAGTAGAGTCGGCTGTCAGATCTACACAGACAGTAGAACAGTTCTTTCCATGAAGACCCGGGCTTGCAAAAAAGTGTATGGTGGGAAAAATGACGATTTTCTAAAAGAACATAGACTAGTAAATCATAAAGATACTTGTAAATGTACCTGGTAAATGTACCCATGAGCAAAACCACGATCAACAGATGACTTGTTTAACACCATGGCATCTTCCATATCATATCTGCATGACATAGATCAAATAGACCACCATTAATCAGGAAACAAAAAAGATAGGTAACTTATTCTATAAAACACTTACCCTGAATAAGCCAGAACTGCAACAATGGCATTTGTCCCTAATGGAGAGTCATCGATCCTGTATTTTTCATATGTAGCAGTACGGACGATTGGGGTTTGAGGAGTCTGCGATAACCAATTTTAAAAACACATAAAGAAGACATCTAATCATTTACAGTAATAAAAACTCATTGCAGCTACCAACTCTAGGCACAGTATAAATTATTTGCATGACTTGTATCCTTATAAGAATCTTATAACGAGTCCCTGTTAGCAAACAAAAAGATCTCAAACACAGCCGAACTCTAGAAAGATTAATAGCTTGCAAGTAAACAAAGACACAATGGAACTCTTTAGTAGTTCTTTGGGAGAAAAAACCTTCCAATAATGCTGAGCAAATTATATAACGAATAACTGAGCACAGGTGAAACCAGCACAAAGTTTGAACTAGACAATTGGGGATTATTATGAATCTAATATCTAGAAACAACAATTGCTAAATAGGTTACAAAAATATTGTGATACCAGGACAGAAGATTTAGAGTATTCAATAAAATCATAGTAGGAATTCAAAAAATGAAAGTATCAAATTCTTGTAACTTTGTAAAAATATATTAGGCAGCTATCATGAGTTCAGATCCTTGTGAGAATTACAAATCACAAAAAAGATATGTTAGGTATCTATCATGAGTTCAGATCCTTGTGAGAATTACAAATCACTAAACCAACGCACCATCAAGTACTAATAAACTGAGACCTAGCTCAACAGGGAGACCAAGCCCAAGAAGAATTAAAAATCATGTCAACTTAATTTATTGATATAACAGAAAATTAAGAGTGATGATTTATATTTTAAACAGAAATATGTGATCAAGTTTCAAAGAAAATAATATTTTGAAGTTAAATACATAATACACTATAGAATAAAAAGTATAAGTAGCCAGAGCATTGCAGCAGGTGTAAAATACACCCTTGAAGATACTACCCTTAGGCTGCATGGGAAGATTACTAAAAAGTTTGGTGGCTTTTCCATTCATCCAACACTAAGATGAAGAATTAAAGCAACAAAAAGATTCTTATAGCATAATGTGGTAACTTAATGAGAAACGACAATCAAATACAAGTCTTCCAAATACGTAGTAAAAGCCTTTAAATCACTTCCAAGTTTAACAATGTGACTCTCCGAAGTTCAGACTAGCAAAAATTATGATGAGACATAATTGGCTAGTATTACGACGTTTAGCATTCAAGTGTATGTTATCGGTGGTTAGTATTCTAGCAAAAACTGATCAGGTTGAGTAAAATTACAATGATAAAGACAGAAATAAGTGAATAATGTGACACCCAGTATTACAAATGTAAGACGCTGTTTGGCTGTTGTTGAATGGTTTCGTGCAGGATGATTAAGTGGTCAAAATGATTAAGAGGCTCTTATGATATAGTGCAAAATGAAATATGGTTGTTTGGTAATTGTTCAAAATGAAATTAGCGCGCTGAATGGTTTAGGGAGGCCTAAGGTACAAAATCATTCAAAGGGTTTTAGAACCATTAAGAGGCAGACTTATTTGCCAAACATAATTCACGTCTTAGCGATTCAGAGGCTGTCTCTTAATGGAACTATTAAGAGGTAAACAAACAGCCCTTAAGTGGCAATAAAGAAACCCACGTCTACAAAACAGACTTAAAAGCCATATCAGAATGACATAAATCAATTTGTCCAATGATTTTTTCCCATGTACTCAAAAAAATTATGAACGGTAAAAAGTAGCATTTAGAGAGAAACAGTTAACAATGGCACAAGAATGTTGGTACTTTTTACATAAAGATAGGGCATAGGTAAAGGGAAGCATAGAAGTGGGAAAAAAGACTAACGTAGAGATATGTATTGATATAAACGAACCTGAAGGTGATACAGCTTTTGATCTGCGCGACAATTGATCCCTTGTGAAGAGAAGCCCATTGTCTGTTTTGCCATCTGCAAGTCGAGAAGCAAGTTGGAAGTAAATCAATGAAAATTGTCACAATTTTGTAGAAAAAAATAAAATAAAATATCAAAAAGATGTCTAACAAACACAAAATCAGGACCTGACACTGGTACATATTTCTTGGACTCTGATTATGATCAGACCATGGGGTAAGATTACCAACAACGCTAAGTATTCCTGTTGGATGAATTTCTTCATGAGTGGCAGGAAACTCATTTAACCTTCCACCATTTCCTCCATCCGCACACTCTATTTCCATATAAACCTGCCAACACGCAATGAACACAAGTCCTAAATATTTTCTGAAAATGGCGAGTCTAGCACTGCACTGAGACTTTAGTTGTATGAAACTAAACATCAATGGATTTACCTGTTCAAATGGCCCAATCAATTCAATATTGTTGTTTCCTTCAGGAGGTAGAAATTTCTGTCTAACTGGTCGAACAAATCGTGAAGGACTTGTGAACAGGTACAGACCAGGGAATGCTCCCCCCATGCTAATAGGTACATATCCCACCTCCAGATCTTCAGGGATCTGTTTATTTATATAAATTAAGACCTGGAGAGCAATAAACAAAAAGAACTTTTGACATTGAACGGAAACAAACCGCTGAAGTCGCTGATAGCTTTAATTTTCGTAAGTGGCTGACAGCTTTCTCCACTCTATCAGTGGGTATAGCACCAACAACACGGCCATCAAGTAAAACATGAAGAACTTCTGGAGGACCAGCTTTTACAAGTTTTGGTAATGCAGGGATCATACCAGCCCCAACCAGAACACTCAGAATAGACTTCTGTATTTTTGAGAAATCTCTAATTATCCCTTCTGAATCATAATATGAGGTGATACCTATAATTGATTATCAACGCAGTAACGGGACAATCAGAAGAAGTAAAACATTAGATACAAATAATGTAGATTAAAAATGCAGAGCTCTGCCATCTAAATTTCATACATACATGCATTGGAGAAACAGCATGCATAGCTTCCTAGTAAAATGCCAACACCCAATGTAACAGAAAAACCACAATAATGCCATATTCTCGATAGAGAAGTTACCAAATATTAGAAATTATGATAAATTTAAGCATGATACACATTTTGGTAAGCCTACATGACAGATTCTAAAAAAAATAAAACCTTTGGTAGTGTCAGCACACTAAGTGTTGAGCGTCATTCTGGTATATGAAATAACCAACAGAGACGGAGACAAAGGAGGAAAATCAGAACAGCTCATATACATCTTATGGTAGTGTACACAGATAAAAATGTGCTTAATGCATTTAATTCCACATAGTAACAAACACAACTAGTTTGTGATAGAAGGCTTCTTGTTACAGTCCTCCATGACTTCCGGTTTTAAAGAAAATTATTATCAAAGGCAACAGTTTCAAATGTATAACATAAAAAGTATCAACAGATGTGTAAACTTACGACATGAAGCTGTCATATGGTTTAGCAGTCCACATGGAGACCCATCTGGCGTGTGAACAGGGCATATGAATCCCCAGGATCTGTGAATATGTGGAATGTACCGAGTGAGGGAGAGAAGGTGAGAAGATATGATACCATTAAGTAAATGAAAAGAACTGGAATACATGAACTTATACATACTCTGGCAACAACTTACGCACACTTGTGGTGCGGAGCCCTGCAAGTGATGAACCTCTATGAACAGCTCTAAAATGTGACACAAAACGTAGAAAATTGAGCCTCTCTGCCTGAACCGTCATACCAGCTTTCTAGCAAAGAAACATGGCACCTAAAGTTAATTTTACCAACTTATACACAGACGATCGCAACCATAAATTGAGCCTCATGCCCTTTTCTTTTACAACGCTACAATGAATTAGTTCTATTTCAGATGAGTTCATGAGCATTATAGAACATTAAGATTTTTCATGTAAAAATAAATTGCAATAATGATACATAAATAGCTTATTTTCATCAATATAAGCAGCTTATGCCTGTGAATTTATTAAGGAAGTATCCATTTAAACTGATAACATTTTCTACAAGATTAAATAGAGTAAACCGAGAAAAGCAGTACCTCTTTCAGATCAAGAGTCGACTGTGTAACCAATCTTCCAGTCTTTAGCATATTTTCAACAGATAGACCAACCTGTTTTGCAGGATTTTTATCCAGTGCCTTCTTCACATCAGCTACTGCAATAATCCAAGCCAAAAAGACATGAGAGAAATCTAACTTGACCAAAGTTCCATGTCTATTTTGGGTAAAACAACAGGCTTTGACTTCTACTACAGAACAGGACTAAGAAAATTCTAATGGCATGGAAAGCCAGAACAACCTCAACATCATTTGCTGCATGCCAATTTTGCATCAACTCATGCCCCACACAAAATAACAATTAACATTATAGAATATAAGCTACAAGCAGTATAGGCATCCAAAAGAATATCATAAGAGGTTGCTGTGTTAGTGTTTCACCGATAAAAAACCAATAGCCAAAAAATTCCATTGAATGGAGGAGCCATACAAACTACGATTAATAGTAGCATGCTTTTCTGAACACCAACATAAATGATACAACAATTGAAATAATAATGAGAAAAGACACAACAAATTCACCAAAGCAAAAAGACAATCCAAGAGCAGCAGGAAAAATGGAAAATTTTCTTTCTCATAACCCACATCAATACAAAGCCTTCTAATGATGTGAAAAGTGATATGAACTCCATTCCACAATTTATGTGCCATGGTGTTTACTACTCTGAATATTGCCATCATTCTTGTACACGGGAACAGGAAGTGTACCCCACTAATCAGGCAGCTACTTCGTCTCAAGAGTCAAGAATGCAACAAAATAATCAGAAAGCCAATTATGGCATCTCAGTTCGCTCAAACCTGAATAGTACTAATATGGCTCATATACCTACCTCCCTTTATTCTATTAAATCTACTTCTTAATCTGATGTTCTATTTAAAAGCACATTCCCCCAATCAACGCTAGCAATACAGTCGGGGAAGATCTCCTCGTTCTCACTTTCACCATTGAACAATGAGTAAAACCTCTGCATATTCAGACATCAGCTTCTCTATGATTCTCATCCTTGGTGTGAATTGGTCTAACTCTGTACTCCTTTTCCCTAGATTAGCAAAGTTAAAAGTGATACTCTTCAAACTTTAAGACTTGACCACCAAAGAAGATATATGGGGATTGTGCGATAATTTCATTTTAAACATTATCTACGGCTTGAAAATAAGTAATAGATTGGCATCGAACATACAGCTGCCGAACTCAAAGTTTTTCTTTCTATTTTTAGTTTCCTCTTGAAGCTGTCTTTTAGTTTTTAGCAGCCATTCCTGCAATTTTTCCTGAAAATGAGAAAGCAACGATGTTAATACACAAACGTCATGTTGAACATTCATTTATTAACAGTTACAGCCCTCCATTCCCCGCCTTAATCCTCAACATATATTATAACTAAAGAATACATGTGCAAAGAAGATGAGAGCAATTGCTAGATTTTATAAGGGAAATTAGATCTCCTTTTATCAGTTCATAATAAAAGAGATGCATAAAATAGGAAGATTTTTCATCAACAAAAATGGCCTGTGTAATCCATGCTAGTTGAGTTAGCTTACAAAGAACTTTCACCCTGGAACAAATCAAGTTCAAGAAGGGAATTCCTTGCAGGAAACGATATACTAGAAAATACCCATTGAGATTTATCATATCTTCCAACAGAAACTGCAGAAAATAAAAATCCATTGCCTATTGCCCAGCTAAAGCCAATAACTCGAATCCCAAATCATGGCCAAGGAAACTTTAATACACCAAATTTGATAATACATGAACCTTCCTATGCATAAAACTGTCCACCAATCTAGGTTGTTAAACGCAAAAAATTTCAATAAGTTTGGCTGACCCTTCTTCCTTTACTCCCCTACCTGTTTTCTTCTTGTATTTTATCATTGTTCTGGGACTAATGTCACCATCATCAAGAATTACTTAAGTAACGGGGTGTCCTCCCTCGTACTTGATGGATGTATCTTGTGTACTATAATTCTTGTATTTTTATCATTGTTCTCGGACAAATATCACCCTCATCAAGAATTACTTAAGTAACAGGGTGTCCTCCCTCGTATTTGATGGATGTATCCTGTGTACTATAATGCCCCTTGTTGTTCACCTGTTTTTTTCTAGCTTTCACTAAAAATTTACGAGTATGGTGATGAAACACATGTCCTGGTTAAATCTCAAGGTAACTTCAGAAATATATTGCAATGAAATTCCTCAGCTTTGATAACAGCTATAGTGGTGCGTTTATTGGCATGGAAGGTTATAACAATGTTTGTGACCACACTACTGTGTGCTTGGATAAACTTGTGCCATAGAAGAGCAAAAAACAGGTTGGTACACTGTCATGACAAAAGTTTCATCTGAGATGCTATAGGGAATCTGCTACCTGAGGTAGGAGTTCAACATGCAATGCTTCATGAACGATGATATGGAGTAGTAATGACCATTCATGATATAATTAAATGTTTGTTGTTAACCTTCCAACAACCTCAGAAGTATGACAAGATGTAGCTAATATTCAGAATTTTTAGTTCACATTTGGGATCAACTTGTATTTTTCTGCTCATTCACTTAATAGAAAAGATATATTTAAATTTTGATTTGATAGTCAAATGATTCAAATGTTTACTTTCCTGTTCTCTAACATGGAAAGGGAAGAGTATATGAGGTCTCACCTCAGAGACTGTGAATGGGCGCAATTCTAGCATAAATATTTATTATGGAAGGAAATGACTTCTACCTTAACATATATTGTAATCAAGTGACCTGGCAGCAGAACTTCCTGAGTTTGCAATGAATCAGGGTTGTCTGGTACAGAGGTTTGATCAATAAAAGAAAAAAGCTTCTGCACCATGAAGCTGGTAAAGAACATATGTCAGCACTTTAAAAGCCAAGAAATCCCATCCCTTACCCACAAACTGAACAAAGTAAAAACAAGAAACATGAAGGTTGCTGGAAAAAAGTTAAGATCATGCATAGTTGCTATGAAAAATATGTACGTACAACATTGCTGCCACATTACCACATAACCCAAGCAATAATAATAATGAGAGAGTTGCTTACATCAGCAGATTAAATTTATCATGATTGTTATCAAGATGGACCAATATGAATTCTCTTAAAACGGCATCAGCAACCTACAAAAAGAAGGAAGTTGAAGTAAGCTTACAAAGAAAAAAAGTTATATCACAAAATTGATTGAAAGATAGATCAACAGATAATTAAGAAAAGATATATATATATATATATACATACATATATATATATATATACACACACACACATTTACAGAGAGTCCTACAGGTCTCTGGCAAGATATCTGTGACATTATTTTACATCTTTTGTATCAGTGCACATATAGATAACTGAACCTCTTACAGAAGTAGTAGGACTTACAGCAGAGTGACTTTCGTTTTCCATGCCATCCATGAAAGGTTTAAAGTACTCTCCTAATTAAAATGAGAAAAGTAAATGGAATTTATGCATCTAAATATGAGTTGACTATGAAATATGAATAGGAACAGAAGGTGATAACAGAATAACAATTACCAATGTAATGCAGGCACTGAATGCGAGTAAAAAGAGACAGATCTCTAACTTCATTAAGAATGATTTTTGCCCTTTCACTCAAAATCTGAGTGCCAACAGAACCTTTTGCTTTCTCATATTTATCATTGTACACGGATATCAAACTCATGAAAATTTCATGATCAGTAGCATCAATAAGTGCCTGTTGCAAGGGAACAAGATAACCCATTAAGCAAATCATGTCAAAGAAGCAAAGGCAAATGTTCAACATCCTTAATGAAGGAGGAAGAGGAAAAAAAACATGAGAAACTTTTACGGAAACCCCTGCTATAATAATTGATTAAGGCATCATGCTCATGTGTCTACATGTTATATAGAGCACAAGAAATAAAGCGTAGATAAAACCAAGCTGTTTGAATATCTGATCACTTTCCAGCTGCAGCTTAAGTTCTTAACGGAACAGTAACTTAAGATCAAATCTAGAAGACAGAAAGTTAAAAGAACACCTCCACAACATCTAAGCGAATCATTATTGAGTTTCAACTGTTGAAGAATTCCTATGTAGACTGTATTATCATATGGCATCACTTTACAGACATACGGGGTTTAGGTATCAATAACCCGACAAAAAATAGTGACTAAAGACCATAGCATGTGCACTCCTCACCACCAAAGAAAAGAGGAACTACCTTTTGATAAGGCTTCCTTACTTCAAGAATACCTATATAAAACAAAGTGTATTGACACCTTTAATAGGAAGGCTGTGAACAGGTTTTCCAACAGGTCCAAGACAATCCCTCTTGTCGATAAAAAACCTTATCAATAGAGAATTTTCTCTCAGTGCTCAATCACTAAAATAGTTTGAGCTGAAGCATTGCCCAATCAATTCAGAGTTCAGTAGATGTCATGTACAATTACACCTATTGGAAAGCTAAAGACATTATAAAAACAACTACCTTTAAATATTACGAGTATGTGGATCATTCCATATGTAAAAACATTAAATTTGAACTTTAACAATGAACTAGCATCAAGATATTGTGCTACTGTTTCAACATAAAATTAGATATATAACGACCTTACATAGGCATGGTAAGTGTGTTAAATCATATCAAAACTCAACTGAAATAAAATAAAACGAATAACAAAACCAGCAAGAGATAAAAAGCATAAGCCAAACAATTCAAGTTAGTAAAACAATATCATACTTCTAAGTTACAAGATGAAACAAATAGCAAGCAATAATCCTTTTTAAATAAAAATGAGAAGTTCCCAAGTCCAAAAACAGTTTAGAAAAAGGACATTTAAGTCGGGAACAACTGCCAACTTTAGGTTCCTTCAACACCCTGAATGCTTGTTGATGAGTGTATATTGGACCAAGTCAAGTAAAAAGGAACATCTCCAAACAATAGAACAGTTGTATATGGAAAAAGAAGAAGAGAAGAAAGAAAAATAGGAAGCATATAGCTGCAGCCACATGGCCAAGCAAATTAAAACCTTAATAAACAAATTCACAAAGCAACAGACTTTTCTCCATCTAAGAGTAGACGACCAAAATAATATATTGAACAAATGTGCACTAAAAATACCTTCAAAACAAGTCCTATAGGTAACAAATTCTCCCTCCCTCGTATCCTACAAATGTCATACTAAAAATAGTCAGCTGTGATTATTTAAAGTAACCAAGGACTTTTACAAGACCAGAATCATTACTAACCGAAATCCAACCCTTGCACTCCCATTGCTAAGGTAATATAAATTGAGGGTTACAGCCGATTGATCTTCTCTAACACATCTGGGATAAGAACACAAAAAACCAACCAACAACTTCATAAATATACTTATTGTTAAATGTAAAGAAACTATCAGCATTGAAGCAAGAAGACCACATGATTCAAATATAACTATACAATGGCTTTAAAATTTTGAAAAACAAGAGCTTGTATTTGCTGCTGTCAATTCCAAAATACATTCATAAATATGGTTTATAGATGATCAATTGATCATATACATAAAAATTATGTATCCTCTGATCAAAGCCATGAAACCTGAAAATACATATTTGGAACCATCTAAAAAAAATATTCATCTACATTGTTAAATTATATAAAAGAGATGCCAAGGTTTCTAACTCTTTCTCCAGGATAGGTTGACAAAAGCTATATGATAATCGGGATTCAGAAGCTCTAGGAGAGCTTGTGCTCATAAAGACCTGAGAACTTAAGATCATTGTAATAAATTTGTACACTTACTAGCAAAAGGGTAAAGAACTGTGCCTTGCAAAATAATGAATCTTAGTTGTTCAAAGATCTTATAGTTCTATCATGCAAAAGAAGATGAGTTGAATTCTGTAATCATACTTCTAAATGCTTGTTCCAAAGAACCTCCTAAGAGCATATAGACAAAGACAAGCTTATCTTGCTTTTCTGTTCAAACACTACTTCCTAAATAATGGAATCTCTAAAAAACAAACTCAGCAGCTCCCATTAGACCCTTTTAAATGTACATCAGAACACAGTCTTAACACTACTGAAGCATGAAACACTAGTTGCTATCTTTCTAAAATATAAATAAAAACTAGTGATAAACTGCTACCTCATGACTCAAAAACTGCCTACAGTAGAGCCTTGTTCTTCCAAGAAATGATTAACAGAATGGTATAGAAAGAATTTCTGCCATTTTGCTCTAGGAAGGTAACTCACCTCCAAGCATATACCTATAGGGCGTTTTAGATTCCAGTTCGAGACCACTCATAGGGTAAACTACGCATGAGAATTATATTCTAAATCCACAAAAAAGAATGGAGAGCCCTAGAAGTAGTTACTCGGAGATCAGAAAGAAAAGAAACCTTATCACCACAGCTTTATCGGTAAATCCTTCTCGTCGATTGCGAAATGCACTTCTGGCCATGCTAGTTGGCTGCATATATGGAAATTGATGAGTGAGAAAGTGGCAAATATAAAGAGAAGAAAAATAAATAAGTAGAGAGCAAAGACCTATGCATGTTACAAACTTATTTGGCTGAGATCTTCACCACACCCTTTAACAGATTGTAGTTAGTTCTGTATAGCATAAATAGTAACTTACATAGTTTCTCTTTGGCACATTTAATAATCGGACAACCCTCTCAAGCCCGTTTAATATGAAGTACCTACAACACGGAATGAAGAAACCACATACGGTCATATACAAAAACAGTGATAACTAGAAGTAGTACGAAAGAAATTTAGAAAGATAAGCATGTAAACAAAGAGAACTCCACTGCATGCATCAAACAGAACGGCCAGACTGGCATTGGCCGTATAACTCTTGCTTTTCTTCAATGAATATCACTTGGAACATCTCCAACAGATTCCCCAAAATTTCTCCAAAATGGAGAACCAAAAGTCAAAATCTCCATAAAAAAAAATTACATTCATCTCCAACAGATTCCCCATTTTGGAGAATCCAACATTGATTATAATATTAAAATATTTCATTCTTCTAGTAAAATATTATTTCTCTCTCTAAATATTTATTTTCAAAGTTTCCTATTGGTGGTCTCACTTGGTGATCATTTTTGGGGCACAAAATTCAATATCTTTTCTTCCTGGTGGTATGGTCAAAAATTACCATCGAAGTATAAAATTATATAAAAGTCATCAACCTCTACATAACAAACAAATAAGTAAAAGTTTTGTTAAAAAAGATAATCTAGTTTGAACTGTGCCATTGTGTGAAACATGTTCTGGAGTTAAACCAATAGAGTAAGGGATGAAAACATCATAATATGATGATCATCTGAATGGTGGCTAGTGAATAAAGTGACAAACTGAACATCCTTTAATTCAGCAGCTAAAAATTTAAAGTTCCTTCATATACCATAAAAAAGGTAATAAAGTATAAAATTACTCACCCACCCATTTCTGATGGTTCTTCTTTACAAGCCACCAGCTTTTGATGATCAGCATCTCTGAGGTGACAAAGTTTAGACTGCAAAAAGTTTATAAACATTTTTAGCATCATCAAGTTGTTAACTGTATACATCTTAAACTTTAGTACATACTATAGTATATACTAACTACATAAGCAATAAACATAGATATGAGAAATGGCTTTGTGTGATCACACAAGGCGATCTGTATTTGCGTAATAAAACTAAGCACATAAGTCCATCTAGGTTCACCACAAGCCTACCTTACCTTCTTTTACCTATATGTGTCCACTCAAATCCCACCTTCCCCTTTCTTACAAATTTACTATCCTGACAACTACACGTATAATTTAAACAATTGCAACTGGAAGTCTTACAAAACAAGTATTCATTACATTTCTTCAACAGTCATTCATCAACTTACCATACTAATAAATTATATTCTTCTTCTTTTATTCCTATTTAGTTTTCTGTAACCACATAGGTCTAACATAAAAACAGCATGGCCCATCTAGAGCATATAAAGTTGAGGCGATCATTGGATAAAGGCCCCTGTTCATAATTGACTCGTTTAAGACGTCATTCCCTTACCTTTAACATAATTAATGTACCTTGCAGTTTCTGACTGAGTGCATACGGTGCAAAATAAATCAGTGGACATTCCCTTACCTTCAACATAATAGGAAACTGCCCAAAATTGATTTTTTCTCTTATAACAGCTCCACCAGGACCATCGCCATATTTGAAGCAGACATCCACCAAAAATTTACCAGTATATGAAATTTTAGCCTGTCTACACTGTAGTAAGAAAATAGAAATAATCCAATAAGTTTACATAGTTTTACTTTTCGGTGGAAGAGAGTAAAATTTTGTTGCTGCACTAGTTCTACCTCATACGGAGAGAGAGCTTCACGAAATGTTCCACGCTCCTTTTGCGGTGGATATAGCTCAGGTTTTTCAAACCAGAGTATGATGTGGGTCAAGAATGAAACAAAATAACAAAAATGTACATGCCACGCAGAATGGCTGGATAAACCAATCAAACAAGGAAATCTCTAATTGGCTCCTCAAGTATGAGACTTGTACAAAAGGTATCAGTATCACATTCCAGAACCCTTTTCAATCAACTAAAAACAAGCCAACTTATTCAGAAATTATCTTCTTTCTTCAGAAAGACAATTAATTCATAAACTTTAAGTTAATAAGTAGCCAACTGGAATCTAGAACGCCGCAAAAATAAACCCTAATCTGTAACACTTCTTGATAAAAAAAATTCCATGGAAATCAATATAGCAGTTAGTAGAAAGATATGTAGTTCAATCTAAAGAATATAAAACCTTCTAGTTTAACAAAATTAAAAAAAAACTGCAAATGAAGGTTTCTCAATTTATTCCAGAATCAAAATTAAATAAGTAATAAGAAGAAAATTACCCCAAACCAGAGTAATAATTCAAATTCTACTACAATAACAAAATTTTAAAGAAAACAAGCAAAAGGATATTTCTTAGCTTCAACTTGGTGTTAGGATCGACGACCTCGACGGGCTTTATGTTCATGAGTGCCTTCTCTAAACCATACTCGACCAAGTGATCGAATGAATGAATATGATGGCTGAAGAGCTCCCTTAAGGGCTCATAGTCGGGATCGCACGGTAGGTGTGGCGTCAATCTATGCCTCCCTGAAACCCTTGCTTGTGCTTCTGCTTTCATCGGCATTATTCCTAGTATGGAGGATGATACTGCAAATGCCTTACGGAGGAAGGTGAAACAGAATTAGGGTTTAGGGTTTTAAGTACAAAGGTTTTGTGGGTTGTACTTTTTGAACTTTTGGACATTTTGTTCATAGTTTATATAGTTTGGCCCATAAGTTTAAAGATTGTCATTTCAGCCCCCTCAAGCTGACGTTTCTGTTACACAACTAATTTAAAGCAAACTACAATTTTAGACCCTGCAGTTTGGCGTTTATAATTATTTTAGTCCCTAGTCTTCACAAAAATTTCTTGTCATTGTGGTTTTTGTTTCATTTCGCTTTTCGTCCCTATGACTAACTTCGTTAAATTACAGTTGTTAACTCAGGCATATTCTAAGCATTTATCATCTATACTATATTATAAAGTATTTGACAAAAACTCTTTAGGGTGCGTTTGGTATGCAGACTACATTCGGACGGGACAAAAAAAATAGTCTCATGTTTGACATGCCATGGACAAAAAATACATAGGATAAGATGGGACTATTTTTAAAATTCATGGGACAAAACTTGATATATTTTGTTCCACCAAAAAAGGTGGAACAACATGGGACAGAATATAAAATGACTATATTACCCTTATTTCTTCCATTAAAAAACCTAATTATCCCACCATTTGTGTTCTTCATCACAACCTCGTCTTCTTCCACATCGGCTCAATCGTCTACTTCATCACAACCTCGTCTTCTTCCACATCGGCTCAATCGTCTTCTTCCACCATCCTCCATCGCCTCTTCTCCTCTGCAATCGGTATGATTTCTCCATTTCTTCATCTTGCTTCTTTGCCTGCGTACGATTCCATCGCCTCTTCTCCTCTGCAATCGGTACGGTTTTCACTAGTTGTGATATTGAATTCATATAGTCTAGAATGCCAGGAAGCAATTTCTTGCAAACATTTGGATGGAGCAGGCTAACAGCACTTTTAATAAGAAGTAAGCACATTTGGATGATGCAGGCTAACTACTTTTGGTAATTAATTACATAAGAGTAAGCAGAGCATGTTTAGGTTAGAATGAGGCTCATTCTGTAGCCATTCTTTGGGGATATACACATTATTTGCTTTCCAATCCAACAGTTTATTGTCGGGTTGGTTCGTCAACACCCTTTTGTCATTTTTTTGGATTTATATTAAATGTATTAAACTTGATTACACAAACTATGTAATTAAAATATATTTTGGTTAATTTGTTGTCATTTTACAATCATTATATGATATAAAATAACATTGAACAACATTTAGGGGTAATTTTGGTCATTTTAACAGTTTTGTCATGTCCTGTCCTAGTCGTACCAAACATAGGACAGACAATTAGTCCTGTCCCGTCCTGTTCTGTCCTGTCATGTCCCGTCCCGTCCTGTCTTGTCTAGTCTGCGTACCAAACGCTGCCTTAAAAACCATTTTTTATGCATGAAGTACTATTTATTGATACAGATTACAAATAAATTGTGCGTAAATACAACTTATTAAAATTTCATGTTTGAATTCGTGTAACTAACTTCAGATAAACATAACCAAATACAAGATAAGCATCTCATTTAAATATAAAAGATTTATAATATTGAGTTCTAAATACAGGATAAGCATCTCATTATCTTTATAAAAATTATATTGTTAAGGTAAAAATAAATTACTTCGCTACTAGACCTACATTAAATTATGATAAAAAATTAAATTAAAGAAATTGTAAAAAAAATGAGAACTTTTAAATAATTAATTTGATATTAATATCGATATTTTTTTTTCAAATTTTTATGACATCTTTAAATTTATTTTTATTCAAAAATAAAAACATTATCTTTATCAAAACCACATAAACCATATTATATATCAACAGAGACAAAAAATAAAACGAAACATTAAAATGAATATGTGTCTCGCTGCACTGCGCGAGTACCCTTCTAGTTATAATTAATTTTAATTTAAAAAGTAATTAACTATTTATCATACCTATATATATACATATATATATACATCTCATCTCACACTAGAGAACACGTTCCCCTTCCTTTCGCCCACCGATCCTCCCATGCTTCTTTGGCTCCAATGAGCATGCTTTCTTCACAATTCTTCTTCGGTGTCTGATAAGTATTATTTGTATTGATAATATAGCATACTTTCTCCACTATTTTCTTGTGTTTTACATCTTCGAATGATAACTAGAGTCTATTTTATATGTTTCTTGTTTATAGAGTTTGGAAGTGGAAACAACATGTATGGTAACTTTTGATTAAAAATCAAGATTTTGGAAGAGAACGTTGTTGGAATTCTGCACCACAGGTCTAGACGGTTTTAGCAACTTTTAGAGCTGATTTTTGGTAGATCTTATGAAAAATTTCTCTTATCTTTTGCAGTTATCTCGGTTCTTAATATCTAAAGAAGATGTTGATGAATTGTGTTGTCTAAATAATAAATTGATTGCCACTTATTTTGTTTGTAAAAAGCTTGTTTGTTGCTTTTTGGTCCCCCCCCCCCCCCTTTTAGTATAAAAAGGGTGTTTTGGGTTTAGTTTGATCATCCCAACTCTGCATTCTATCTTTTATTTAATTAATATATAGCCTCCTGTCTTTTCTCTTCAATATGTATAAAATTGTTGGTAGTTCATATTTCTTTTTTGTAATTTCTCTTTTAAAGTTATATTTTTTTAATATATTGTCTACTTGTTTGCAACATTTGAAACATGACAGGTCTAAGTTCAAAATGGTTGGCCTCAATATTGGGTCTAAGTATCCTTGAATGCAATTGGCTGAAAACAGGAATAACATAGTTCATGATGCTTTCATTTATTAAGTTAGCAATTCGGGACACTTTTCTCCTCCGGGTTTGGCCTTGGAGGGGGCCCTTATCGGGGAAAAAATTCCTTAAAAAAATGTTTTTTTACCCCCTTTGCCATAGGTGGAGGGGTTAAAACAGGAAGTGGTGTTTTTTTCATCCTCCTTCTCTAATGGAAAGTTCTTTTGATATTTAGATTCAATTCAAATACGTTCTCGTGAGGTAACATTGGTATCACCACTCGAAAACAAGTAACACAAGATGGTAGAAAAATCATATTTTAAAAGTGACTAAAATTTTGTTTTCTTTGCAAAGTCCTCGAGAACGGTGACTTGTTCGTCAAAAAATATAACCCCAAAAAAAGCTATAACATTTGGAAGATCATGCAATTATACATATTCAACCAATGTCGTCTGAGGTAATAATGGTAAAAATACCATGTTATCGATCCTTAGGGAATTTGAAAGTATGAGTTTTAACTAGTCCCACTTGAAATGGGATTTCAGATGGTGATTTCGAAGGAATATTTGGGGCATGAGTTAACATACTATAGAGGTAAAAAAAACAATAAACAGAAAGTAGAGGTGCAAGATCGGGTTGGATTTTTACCGTCAGAGTGTGGTAGAACCTTGCTACAACATAACATGGGTTGCTACAACAATAACTCTCAACAGCTACTACTGGATTGAACTTATTTCTTTCAAAGTGCAAATTAGACCTTTTCCTGGCAGTATTCAAAATGAGTACAAGTCCAAGTATAGTACATATCTTACCTTTCTTTCCATACAGTTTTGCAACCTATGAAGGTTGTTGCACTTCTTTGTAGCCTCTATAAACTATTAGTTAAAATATTTGTGTTATCTTAATTTTAAGTCTAACTCTGGTAACGAGCGAAACATGTGTAATAACAGTAGGTTAGCAAACAGTCCACAGTGGATAACGCAAGTGTACACTAGTCATTATGGTCGTCACACAAGTAATAAAGTTGATAAGAACCAATATCGTATCCTCAAGGACAAGGCAATCAAGACAATATCATTCTCATGAACTTCCTGTTACAAGTTTCAATTAGAGAGGAAGCAAATAAGTTGAATGGTGGTGAAACAACTTTAACAAAGTGTAAGTCCACAAAATGATCAATCTTCATATATCTTCATACAATCCATGGCAGATTCATTAAACATTCAAGAACACTTTAGAGGAGAGTTGAGAGGATTTGTCAAATAGTCAACACTTCTATTATGTACGTAATTTTACAATTGAGCTCTCTCTTACACTCTCTTACAAAATCACTACAAGACAAATGTATATATAGGGTCAAACTAGGAATCCTTCTAGTCAAAGTCAAACTTACTTACAAAGTCAAACACGATATCTATATAATTATAGACAATTATTAACTTTCAAGACGAATACAATTTAACACTGAAATTTAGTCCCAACATTCTCCCCCTTTGTATTCAGGCTTGAAAGAATTTACGCACTTTGAATCTCGTTTGAACTTTGTCACTTTAAGCTCTTTATGAATTTTTCAAAAACTTCAAAACAATCTTCATATTGAAATCTTTAGACGATATTTTATTGAGAAAATCTTCTAACATTCTCCCCCTCGAATGTAGAACAGCAACGATCTTCTCTTTTGACAATGAAGAACAATATCAGCAACAATCTTCAGAAATGATCTTCAAGATATGATCTTCAAAGAATCTTCTTCAAATAACAGATAACTAACATTCTCCCCAAAAACGAATTTCTTCAGATAAAAAATAAACATTCTCCTTCAAAATTAAACATTCTCTTCGTTGAGAAATCTTTATCAGTAAACTTTTGTAAAGATAATCTTCACATTAAAAAACTCTCAGACAATGTAGCACAGGAATAATCTTCAGTCACACTCCTTTGAGTCTTTTGCCGACCTTTAATGTTATCCCCCCTTGATTTTTATATCATAATCCCCTTTTATCATCCAAAATTGATAATTTCATTCATCATAACATACTCCCCCTTATGATGAAATGAGAATCATTAGCATCATACAACAGAATGAATGAAATTTTCAGCGAGAGTCGTCAATTCATAAAGTTGTAAGTAGATCTTTTCAAATCCACTTGTATAATCTTTTCAGATTAAGGGATTGGAAAAATAACAACCAATTTCAACTTATGAAATTATTTTCAATCTTATAAAAAGATTGTCCTGTAAATATAACAGATATATTAAGTACAACTGATGTACTTCATATATGAGACTTTAT